CTGAAGTGAGAGGTATAGTTTCTGCGGCAGATTTAGTTCTCAATATATTTATGTAGACTCTTAGGTATTTCTCCTGTGGCTTCCGATCACTATTGGAATGACTTCAACTTTTTCTTGATTCCACAGTGTTTTTACTTCAGCAGCTAGTGGTAAGTACTTGCGAACCTTTTCTGTCTGCTTCTCAGCTAGTTATGTGGGGGCAGGCACACTAATGTCAATTATGCAGGTTACTTGCTTCATTTTATCTTGAACTACGATATCTGGGTTTGTTGTAATCCATGGTGTGATCTGTTTGAATTGTTCTATTCCAGTATATTTTATGGCTGTTAGTTTCTATAACTGGAATCGGCTGGTACTTGTAATATGGGGTGCGGTCAGTTAGTATGTTCGCAGCCTAATAAATTTCTTGGGTGAAATATTTTAGCCACGTTGTCGTGGCGCTTCAGATACTCAGTGGAAGCTAGGGGAGTGCAGCTCGTCAGGATATGCTCTATTGTTGCCGACTTGTTATGGCATATACGACATCTATCTTCAATGCCTTCATCTTTCATGATGCATTTCTATAGTTTAAGGTTGGTATCACCTGATCTGGAATGCCAATTATGAAACCTTCAGTTTCCGAAAATGGCTCCCCACTCTTCAGCCATCCATTGACGCTTCTGCATCAATGTGATCTGAGCTGAGCATGGCTGGATAATCTTCCATGAAGCTGTTTGGACTTCCACTGATGATACCATTGTTCGGTCGTGGTCACATGGTTAGAGGTTCATACTGGTCATCCGACAGGTCAGTGGTGTGAACTTGGAGTCAGCTGAAACCTATATTTAAATAGTATTATTATTATTAGTACTATAATTATTATAATAATTGTAATTATTATTATTATTATTTTGTAATTATTAGTATTACAATTATTATTATTATATTATTATTATGATTATTTATTATTATTATTATAATTATTAGTATGATTATAATTATAATAATTGTAATTATTATTATTATCATTATTGTGATTATTATTATTATTCTTCTTCTTATTATTATTATTATTATATTAATTATTATAATTATTGTAAATTATTATATATTAAATTAATATTATTATTAGTATTAACTATAATTATTATAATAATTGTAATTATTATTATTATTATTTTTGTAATTATTACTATTACATTATTATAATAATTATTATATTGTTATTATGATTATTATTATCATTATTATAATTATTATTCTTATTATTATTATTATTAATATTATTATAATTATTGTAATTAATTATTATAATTATTATTATATTATTATTAGTATTATTATTATTATTATTATTATATATTATCATTATTATTATAATTATTATTATTATATTTTGATTATTATTATTATTATCATTATGTGATTATTTTATTAAATATTAATATTATATATTATTTAATTATACTATTACATTATTTTATCTATTATTCTTTATTATTATTATTTATTATTATTATGTTTTATATATTATATTATTATTTCTGATTATTATTATTATTATAATTATGATTATTATTATAATTATTTATTATTAT